CAGGCTTCTTTATTCCTGCAGCCTTGTAGTACATTTTGCGTTTTGAAGTAGTGTAATGCCTGCGATTTCATTCTTTTTGCTTAAGATTGATTGGGGAGGGCTTTTAATTCTCTGAGCAATATCCATATACTTCCCACAATTTAAAAGGAACAATGATCTCAACCATAGTACACACTGGTCTCCAGGTCACTTTATTATAAGCAAAATTGTTTTTAGCCAGGTCCTTGCTAACACTTATTATGTCTTCTCACCTAGCTAGGACCCAATCTTAATGGATGTAAAGTTGTGTCTTCTGAATTTGATTCACAGTTTCCTGATGGTTAGTAATGTTGAGCACCTGCTCATATACTTTGTGGACATTTGTGTATCTTCTTTGCAAACGTATTTTTCAAGTCCCTTGCCAATGATAACATGCCTAGTCTTGCGTTTTTGACTATCCACCAATATTAGAAGGAATTTACATGGTTTCTGATCAATATAGTTTTCTAGGGGACCAAACTCCCTTATGTGAAATCCACTATTGATTAGGAATCGATAATGACTCTTACTTGATGTATTCTTATGGTTGCTTTCAACAAATCTTTTGCTTTAGTTTACCAACTACAGGTCTGCATGTAAACATTACTGTGTAAATTCCGGATATCATGCTCTTCTGAGTTTCTGAAAATGGAGATTTGTTCACAAAATTCAGGGGTATATTTAGTCATCTCTATTATGTAAACTTTGTAAGGCACAACTGTTGTAGAGTTCATATCACTATTTATATTTTACTGCTTTAACACACCCACAGATATTTAGAAATGAAAGAAACTCGATGTGCTACCAGTCATATCAGAGTGTTCCCGGGCTAGTGTTTCCCATTTCCCTCTCCTCCCTCCCACTCCACATGTTTGGGACAATGTCAGTCATGGGCTTCATTCTTTTCAGTTTTTTTTTTCTAATTATGATTTCTGATTGCTTTTGCTTTCTCAACTCAATTTTCACATTCTAGAATGAAACAGAATCACACTTAATTAGGGAAAATAATATCCAGGCAAACCTTGACAGATTGTTCCCGACAGTCATGAGCCATCTCCTTGTTCATCTAGATATTTGGATGTTGTTAGTGTCAGTCATCTCTTCCTCATGGTCCCACTTTGACATGTCACTCATTCCTGACTGCACTTCCGGGATCTGAAGCCCTTTAGTCCTAGGGCAAGGATGTGTTCAGGGATGACTCACTCTGTCTTATTTCTCTATGCGAGGTTTTAGAAAACAGCTGTCACAGGAGAACTGAGGCACTAAGACAGTTAGTACTTGTTATAACTTCAGGGACACCTTTATTATGTCAAGCACATAAACACCTAATTTTGGAGTATGACATAATAACATTAATAAATTACTTTACATCTGTGTTAATATGGTATGAACAAACCACAAACAGGGTCATAAGGAAGATACAGAGGACAACTTGGCTGTGTAGGAAGGGCCTCTAACTCAACACTGATGTCTTGGAGGGAATATGATCAATACATCAATAGCATCATTAATATTTCAAAGTGGTTTTATAAAATATCTATGGCAAGATCTGTGCATTCTATATGAATATATGTTTTGTTTCCAGTTTACAAACAAGGAAATTAAGTTCATTTCACTACAAATTCAGAATATGATGTGTATTTCTGAAGACAGGGACAATATCAAGCAGTATACAGGCTCTAACTAGTACGCTCTTGAAACAAGCCATGATTGTCACCCACACAACTTCTCATTTATTGGAGAAAAATACATTCAAATTGTAAGTTTGCAAATCAGAAAACATGAAAGGAAAAAAGTAAGTTATTTTTATTATGCCTCCAATTTTCTTCATAACAAATGACACAACTACACTTTAAGTCTCTTTATTCTTGCAGATTTATTAATGCAGATGACATCTAATAAAGTGTATTATTACATTCTATGTTTAAATGCTACTACTCTGGAAATATTTTATATTAATTGTAAATAAATATACCTTAGATATCAATAAAATTTTTGAGGTTCACAAGGAAAAAAAACATCAAATATATACAGGGCCATAGAGAGAGACAGAAGGAGCACCCTTAGCCACATTCCTATGAAGTTGGTCATAGCATTGTCTCCAGCTTTGTGGTATAGAAATGTCCCTCTATATGACTCAGCTACACTTACGTGACTTTCATGACTCATACAGAAACACAAGACTAAGGAGAGTTTTAAACTTACTTACTAGAAGATAAATGTTACACACATGGTCTCAATGTTTGTCTCTCTAGTGACCAGGCCAACATTCAACCAGGTGTCCATCCCTGTGCATCAGCACAAATGGTCTGAGGATTGCATAGCCAAGGTTCACAAGTTCTAGAGCACTTACTTCTATGAAACGCTTCTGTAAGGAGAAAGTTACATATAAAGCCATGAAACAATCTGTCCAATAGAAGAAGAGAAAGCAGAGCATCAGAAGGAGGACACTCTTTGCAGCCCTCACCTCAGGGGGGGTTCTGTAGAGCAGCTTGGAGGTCTGAAGGTGGAGCATGTGCTGGTGGTGCTTGTGGAGGAGGAAGATCATGTATCCACTGGCCCCGCCCATGACATCCTGGAACACAGCGTCTCGAAGGACCATGAGAACAATAAAAATCCATCTGATTGTTGAGTTTTGCTGTAGAAAATAACAGTAGTTCTCATTTGTTCTAATTTCTGAACTGTTCATGCTGCTGGCTTTTTTAATGGAAAGTGGTAAATTCATGCTTATCAAGGAACTGAGTATCCACAGGAAGACTAACAAGGGAAGCAGGTGCCATGCAGACCTGGGCTGCAGCCTCCCCCACCTGGAGGCTCTGGGACTGATGGTGATGGCCTGGACCACTGTGAGGAGACTGGTGGTGCAGATGGACAGGCCCCGGGCCACCCTCTCCAGATAAATCACAGTCTTACAGCCTACGTCACCTAGGAGGTCTCTCAACCCCAAACTGGATATTGTTCTTGGCATTCCTCCTGCAATAAGTGTTATGCTATTTGTAAAAGCCAAATGGATGAGTAGGAGGTGACTAGATTTCCTCTTCATTCCTCTAAACAAGCACATGTAGTTCACAAACACATAGATATTCCCCATAATCCCAAGTCCTATTAGAAACATGAACGTTATTCCCTTGACAAGAGGCAAAACCATTTCTTACTTCATAGGCAGAAAAACTTGGATATAGCAGACATTTTTTGAAGAAGGCAATTGTATGATGATATGAATCTGCAAAGAAGTATTTCACAATAGCCTTTCCTGGGGTGTAAGAACAATCAGGATACATGTAACGATGCAGATTTTGTCCAAAGGACTATTTTTCTTAGGGGGTTAAGGATCATTCTACATGCTTTTAAAAGTCATCCTGATGCTATTATTCAAAAATCTAAATTTTTAACCCTGATTTTTTTTCTAAGTTCTATGCAATCAATACCAAGTTTCTTGATCAAATCCCTGATATCCCACCTATATTCAACCTCAGCTTGGATACATTAAAACTACACTCCCCCAGTCAGACTTTTCCCTGTCTTTTTTGTTTAATTCTCTATGTTTTTATCATTGGGATGTAAAAGTCTAGGATCTTACTTGGCCTTTCTTCTTTCCAATACCCCATGCACAAGCATCTATAAAATCCAGTTCCCTCAATGTCTTTAACAAATATAAATTCAGCCATAGTTCAATTTCTCATCTTTTGCTGCACCACATTTGAGGCTGGATTTTGCTTTAGAGTTTTCCTTCTGTGACGACAACAGCTTCCCTTTTGTGTTCTCTGCACACCAGTAGGACTCGGTGGTTTCACGGCTTACTAATACCAGAGTCTCTGTAGTGCTCAGAGTGACATCCAGCTCCAACCTGCACAGAGGGGATCCAACAACTCAGTCAGAGGTATGCAGGAATGAGTTTCTAGCCTGAGAGAATGGGGTTAAAGACAGCGTGGAGCCAGCGAGGCTGCCCTAGAAGAGCCACGAAATGCTGCTGCCAGGGTCATCAGCAGAGGGCTGAGTTCCCACTGATGCCCTCGGGGGCTCTAAGGGAGGCCTGGGCCAGTTCTGCAAGTGGTGGTGTTTGTCAGAGTGTTAGGGTGAGAGGAAAGACCCCTGCTATGAGCTGTCAGGAGACGAAGGCAGTGTATGAACCAGGAATCCCCAAGAAAACCTCCTTGTAGAAGAGTAGGCTGGGAGACATTTGGCATGAACCAATTCACTTGAGTGGGGCCACGCAGGCATTTTACACCTTACACTGCCCTGGTGGGAACAGTCGCCTAGTCAGCTCTGCAGCCTGCCTTGTCTTTTCCCCACCTAGTCAGCAATTGGGCTGCTATGAGGTTTAAACTGCATGGCTCACTTCCACGCAGGCTTGAACATGACTTTACATTTTCCTGCTAGAATTCCAATTTCATGTCTCACCTGAGAACTTATGTAAAATATGGTCAATTTCTCCAGAAAAAATAAACCAGATTGTTAAAAAAATACTTATAATTTGAGTGAATCCTATATACATAGAATACAATTTTGCAATTCTTCCCCTCAGCTCCTGCTATTCATTAAAAATTGCTTGAGATTCCTCTGCTAAACGTCCCCGGCATAATAAAATACAGAAAAACAGTTTGTACCCATCTTTGGCACCATGTAACCCTTGAAAACAGGAAGATTTATATTTCAATGCTGTTTCTTCCACTAACAAATGGGGAGAATAATAAATGCACCAAAGCCTTAAACAGCACAAAATCCTACATATCTACTGTGAAATGCCTAAGATACAAGATCTAATGACCCAGCACAGCAGTTTCTACTAGTAAGTCACGGGTGAGAAGGAACACACTCAATGGACATCATGGCCCAGGGGACTTATCAAATGTTTGTTCATTTCTTCTTCATTTTTGAGTTTTTCTCTTATTTTCAGCCCCTCCCATCTTCCCAAATGACACAGCTCTGAATCAAATTTGGGAGGCACTTTTGAGACACATAATTCACTTCTCTTTCACTCTGACAGAATAGAGTGCAGACATCATCACAGGTTGATTTTACAACTACAGTCTAAACAGTTCTGAAAGCCCTGCATTCACAGAAAGATATCACCCCCACCTGGAATTAACCCCAACAGCTGGGCAGAACACGCATCGCTCCTGGGGAAACTTTCCAAGATAAATATGAGAGCATGGTCCCTGCTTCATGGAACTGAACTAAAGACAAAGATATTTTTTGAAATTTTAATATCAAGTAAACAATTGAAAACATACTGGAATTCAACAAGAGACACTAGGATTTTAAACGGTAATTGTTTCAGTAGGCACTCTGACAGACATATAAAAGCGAATTTGACTCACATGTGGGGTTTAATGCTATGTGTCAGGACAAGCAATTTCAGGATGGATGCAGAATGAATGCCTTCACATTAAACACAGTGCACTTAGAGACATAGAAACATAATGCAGGGGGGAAATTGTATCTTAGAAACCAAGTAATACAAAAAGCACTAGGTTCAAAAACCTAGTGTAAGCTACGATGGTGACAGAACCACTGCAGGACAATGTGGAGGCTGAAGAAACTGAGCTTTTCTAAAGGCAGACAAAGCTTCTAGCCTTCTCTCCCCAGGACCCTCCACAGAGCTCTCGGATGAATCCTGATCCTGAACATAGGTCAAGGTTGCTCTGTAGCTGAGGGACACCTGCTGTAAAGGCCCCTCATCTTCCTGGCCCAGGTGCACACCTGCAGATCCCAGCAGAAGGGTGAAGGTCCTGAAGCTGAGACACACTCAGCAGCCCCCTTGCTCAGTCACAGACAGTAAGACCGTGACCGCTGAGGGATGTCCCCTGAGCCTGTGAGCAAATCTGATCCTAGGGCCCACTCACCTTGGTGCAGACTGCAGTTCAACCTCCGTGTTGGTCCTTTGAACAAGACGCAGCTCTCCAGGTTGTATTTGTACCTTCTGGGTTTGTGGGGCTCTTGTCATTAACTACCACTGGGGCTCCATATCAGTGTTGTCACCTGTCAAAGAGAAGCGCCCTCTGCAGGAGCTCAGTCCCTGAGGTGTGCCTCTCCCTCTCCCTCTACAATTACTGCATTTGGTTCCTTCAGACCTTAGCTCAGTCTTAATTGGACCTAATTGTTTGAAAAGAAGTTTGGAGATGAGCAAGTGATCAACCAGCCACATTCATGTGACAGTTTCCCATTTATTGGCTTCCCTTCAACCTCACAATGTTCCACAGCTGAATCAGAATGCGGCCACATTGTGTCACACAGAGGGCCACTTCCCCTCATGTTCAAGGCCTTACCCATGCACAGGGATGTGGCACCTGAGGACCAGCACTGGGGACTCTGCTTTCAGAGCAGGCCCCAGCCAGGCTCCTGGGAAGGACAGGAGTCACCTTTCTCCACCTTTGCACTTGGGCAGTTCAAGGTCATAGCAACAAAAACATGGTGTTTCTAGAACCCCATGGCTAGATGCACCCACGTTCTCCTCTCAAAAACCCAAACATGCCATCAAGAAAATGCAAATCAAAATTACAGTGAGATGGCATCTCAGTTAGAATGGCATTCATCAAGAATAAAAATAGTAGTAGATTCTCTCAAAACTCTGACAAAAACAGGTAAATTCATGCATTTTTGGTGGACTAGAAATTAGTACAACCATGTTGGTAATCAATACAGACATTCCTTAAAAATCTACAAATGAACTATCATATGATACAGCTACAACACTCTGTGATTTTTTTCCAAAAACTACCCCTATAACTAGCATACTATAGTGACCCAACTGCATCAATATCTATAGCAGCACAATTCGCAAAGGCCAAGTTAGGAAACCAGCCCTGGTGATCACCAACAGATGAATGGATTAAGAAAAAGTGTTGTGACTGGCCAGAGCCTAGCCTCTGGTGCAGGACCACCCCTTCTGACCAGTGGACTACAGTGGGAGCCGAGATCCATCCCAGATGGCTCACACCAGCCCACAAAGGATGGGGGATCTCAGTAGGCCTGGTTCAACCCTCCCCCAGCATGGCAGACACAGCCAGAGCCTAGCCTCTGGTGCAGGACCTCCCCTTCCTACCAGCAGACTACTGTGGGAGGTCAAGACCAGTGGCCCTGATCCACCCACCCCAACTTATGCAGAACAGAGACCCAGGATGCAGTAGAATCCACTGAGGGACACCAGCAGGGTCTGGAGGCCCAACATCAAGGTGAGGTACAGACAATCTGCACAGGTACTACAAGAATAGAGGGAGGAAGCTGTACTATCCCAGATCCACACTGCAAGGAAGGAAGACACAGAGACAACATGAAAATACAAGGGAGGAGTGTGCCCCAAACACACCAGGAACCTATATAACAGAACCCTGGACAGTGCAGTTGATGAAATGTCAGAGGAGGAGGTCAGAAGGTTCATAATTAAGTGATCTGTGAATTAAAGAAAGACCTAAATGAGCAAATACAGGCAAAAATTGATCACTCCAACAATGAGATAAGAGAGTAAACCCAGGTAGCAAAAGATTACTTCAAGAGACAGAGACCCTGAAATAAAACAAGTCAGAAATCCTTGAAACAAAGGATACAATAAATAAAATAAAAAACTAAATAAAAAGAACAACCAACAGAGTAGATCACTTGGAAGAAAGAACGTCAGACACTGAAGACAAAGTACAACCTGGAAAATAAAGTTGATCACACAGTGAAGAAAGTCAGAAACCCTGAACAGAACATCCAAGAGCATCACTACCCTCTACTCTATGTGGACACAGTAAAACTCTTCCATGATTCAGGTCTCAGCATGAAGGTGTTGTTACTCCTGAGACCCCACCCTCACCACCTACCTTTGCCTCCAGAACTATAACTAGATGCAAATCTAAGCAGTCCCTAGAGGTGAGGTACTGAGTGTGACCCACAAGGAGGTACTCTACATTTAGAAGGAAGTTCTTGAGTTTTCTCATTTATACAAGCAGAAGCCTGGGAAACAGGTGGGAATGGATTTTAAGGGTGTGGGATAAGAGTGGAAGGAACATAAACTTATATCATGCAGGATTTATTGATACTGGCCCATAAGAAGAGATACTAGATTTAATGTAATAGCTCACAGTGTTTAAAAAGTTTTAGCTGAAGTATGAGCCCAAAGATGGCCCACTATAAATGAGCTGAAATGCTGGACAACCCTTGATT